TTCTCGAAGGCGGCCTGGTAGTCGGCATTCCATTGGAAGGGTGTGTCTTCCTTCAATAATCCTCTCAGGGGTGCGGTCAGGATGCTTAGGTTTGCGATGAATGGGGACATGTAGGTGGCTAGCCCAAGGAACGTTTGTAGTTCGCGGCGATCAACCGGTTCTTTCATCTGCCTCAGCACTRATATTTTGGCGGGATCGGGCTGGATACCGTTTTCACTGCAGATGATGCCGTAGAACTTTATTTTGTTCTGTTTGATATGGCACTTGTCTGGGTTGAGTTTTAGGCCTGTTTCTTTGCATTTCTCAACCATCGCCTTTAAATTGATGTCATGTTCTTCCTCCGTTTTTCCGTAAACCACGATGTCATCCACGATGCCGATAACACCATCGCAACCCTCAAATGTCTGGTCAATCTTGGCTTGRAAAACGTCTTGCGACATTCTCAGTCCAAATGGCATTCGTTTAAACCTGTAKCGGCCAAATGGGGAATTGAAGGTAGTCAGGTAACTTGATGGTGTGTCGAGTACAACATTCCAATATCCACACTTCGCGTCTAGAATGGAGAAATATTTTGATCCGCTCAGCTTGGGCAAGATTTCCTCAAGGGTRGGTGTTACGTGATGGTCTCGTTGTATGGCAGCATTTAAATCCTTAGGGTCAAGACATATTCTAAGTCTGCCAGTGGGTTTCCTTCTGTATACTAAACTATTGACCCATGCCGTCGGCTCCCCTTCTCGTACTTTGGTGATGATACCTTGGGCGGCCATCTCATCTAGTTCCCGTTTAATGTCATCTTTGAGGCWTATTGGCACGCGTCTCGGTGAGTGAATGACAGGGGGTACATTTGGGTCTAGTCGGTTTTGTTTCATGTATTCTGCTTCCCTTTCTTCCTACGTTTCTTGTAGTTCCTCGGCGCGTTTTTCTAACGCAACCTTTTCATTCAGGGTTGCCAACCTTTCTAACGCACTCCGGGTAGCTAGTTGGAAACCTCTTAATCTTGCCACGTCACCCCTAATTTCGCCATTTTCGTCGAAAAGGGGTTGTAGTTTCGTCCAGCGGTTCTTGTCGGGAAATCTAAGGTCTTGGACGCTTATGAGGACTCTGCCGCCACGCTCGGTAAGCCTTACGTCATCAGCCTCGAAGCGGGAATAGCGCTGCCTTAGCTCTTGCGTTGCCCACTCTACGGTTTCCCGCGCGGTTGCTTCGTCTATGTTTTGAAGTTCCAAGTACTCAGGAACGGGGCCGCGGTTCTTTGATTGCCACATGCGATTTAAGGC